CTTGTTCGAGATTATGGAACACGGACCGTAAGGTAAATTTGAGATAGCATTTCTCATGGCGGAGGTATGTGACTAATTTAAAATTGAAGGCTTGAGGATTTAAATTGGTGATATTCGACTTGAGGGTTATTTGCTTTACTCGTGTTGGATTACATGATTTATTAATAGAGGATTATTTAAATTATTCGTGAGAAATTATGTGATTTATTTTTGGATGATTATTCGATTTGCCCGAGCGATTATCTGATTTAGTTGTGGATGATCATTTGATTTGCCCGAGCGATTATGGGACTTATGTGTGGACGATTATTCAGTTTATTCAAGGAGATTATTCGATTTATTCATGGCCATGTTTGAATTATTTAAGGAGACATTATTGAATTGATTGAGGGATTATTGAATTCGATTGTGGATATATTTGATATGATCGAGGATACATTATTTAAATAATTCATGAGATTATGTGATTTATCAGTGAAAATTATTTGACATATTGGAGGCAATTATTTCATCTATTCGAGGTGATATTTTATTGTTTGAGGAGATATTATTTATTTCGTTCGAGGTGATATTTGATTTATTCGTGGAGGATTATTTGTTTTGCTCGTGTTTGCATGGTTCATTCGTGGATTTATTTGAGTCGTTCGTGGAGATGTGCAATTCATTTGTGGATATTTTTGTTTTGCTCGAGTAGCTATTGGATTTATTTGTGGATGATTGTTTGACTTAATTGAGGTGATTACTTGGCCATATCGAGGATATGTTATTTTGTTCGAGGAAATATTATTTTGTTCGAAGTGATATTTGATGTGATCGAGGACACATTATTTAAATAATCCATGAGGATTATGCGACTTTTCCATGGAAACTATTTGACTTGTTGGAGGAGAATTGTTTAATTTGCTCGAGATATTATTTGATTTATCTGTGGAGGAATATATTTGACTTATGCATGGAAGAACATTTGATTTGATCGAGCAACTATTGGATTTATTCATGGATGATTATTTGATTTATTTGAGGAATATGTTTGACTTATGCATGGAGGATTATTTGATCCGCTCGAGCGATCATTCGATTTATTTGTGGATGATTACTTGATTTGCTTGAAGGATTATCGTATTTATCTGTGGATGATTATTTAATTTGCTCGATCGATTATGCGATTTATTCATGGACATATTTGAATCTCTGTCGAGGAAATGACGAAATAATCCAAGTCTCAACAAGCTATGGCGGACGAGCTGTTGAGTGTCGAGGACAAAATAAACGAGCATGGATCTATCTAAGGAGGGTGACAAGCAGGGACGAGCCTAGATGATGTCGATCACCGGTGGCAATCTCAAAGGCAAAAATCATTCTCTTCTAGAGAGGTAAGACAATTTGGAGCGGTATTCTCGACCTTCAGGTACAAAGCTATTCTCGACTCTTGTTCGGTGGTCGTGTTTGATCGATAGGGGTTTATGGTCATTCTTTGTGTACTCTAGACAAACTGTTGAGGAGATTGTGATGCATATCGACATGGTTGAGATTATTATTTGG